CACAAAGCCTGCATATTTTGCAAAATTTTTTTCTCATACTCATAACAAACAGAAGAAAACTATTTCTCAAAAATACTGTTCACAAAACATTATACTCAAAATTCAGTATCAAAATGCTAAATAACTAGTAATTGATGCTTGTCTTTGAGTAGTCGGCTTAAGTGCTTTAATGAAACCATCCTTTCTCACTGTTCCTTTTGATGTGAACTTTCTGAGATTATTAAGTGTATTAATATCATCACATAGGAAGTTTAGAATATATCCCAATTTCATTCCTTTTATTTGACACAGTAAAATTAAAATGAGAACATAAATGGTACAAATAAAGGAACTTACCAGCGAAATGCAGAAAAGATTCATTTTGATCAGCTTCACTCTCTTGTTTCTCTCCTTTAAAGAATACGATTGCCCCCTTGTAGCTCGCTCTTGCCTTCACAGCTGTTTGGCCAGTTCTCATGGGAGATTATTACAAAGTAAAATCCCTGCCATAATCCAGGGGATTCAGAGACCATTATCAAATAATATTGGTCTTTATTGAACAAACAGTTTCCTAAATTAATGAAGAACCCTGACTCATAAAATGAGAGAATGGGACTTACCATGATCTGTGCACACAGATTTCAAAGGTGGCAATGATAGTCCTAAAACCTGCAGTGAAAATGCACTGAAAACAACTACAGGCCTAGCTAACTAAATGGAGTATTGATGCAAACCTGGAGAAAATATTATTCTTCAGGATAAAAGTAACATCTTCCTTTTAAAAGTGGTAGGTCAAAGGTCCATCTCATGTTCCTTCCCATCTCCCATTCCTATTTTCTCTTTCAACAATTTACAAAACGTTTGATTCCTTACATGACAAGATATAAACACATTTTTACAATGGAAAATATGCAAAATGCCTAAATCTAAAATTTACCACTTTGACCTTTTTTTTTTTTTGAGACAGAGTCTTGTACTATTGCCCAGGGTGGAGTGCAGTGGCACAGTCTCGGCTCACTGCAACCTCTGCCTCCTGGGTTCAAGCAATTCTCCTGGCTCAGCCTCCTGAGTAGTTGGGATTACAGGCACCCGCCACCATGCCCAGCTAATTTTGTATGTTTTTAGTAGAGATGGGGTTTCACCATGTTGGCCAGGCTAGTCTCGAACTCCCGACTTCATGATTCGCCCGCCTCAGCCTCCCAAAGTGCTGGGGTTACAGGTGTGAGCCACCGCACCCAGACAAATTTAACCATTTTTAAGTAAACAGTTAAGTAACGTTAAATACATCTACATTCTTGTGCAACTACCACCACCATGCATCTCCAGAACCATTTCATCTTTCCTAATTCAAACCTCGTACCCATTAAACACTAACTTCCAACTTCCCCTGTCAACCAGTCCCTGGAAACCACCTTTCTACTTTCTGTCTTTCTAAATGTGACTAGTCTACATGCTTTCTGTAAGTGGCACTGATATTTACCCTTTGGTGACTGGTTTACTTCACTTAGCATAACGTCTTCAAGGTGTGTCCATGTTATAGCATGTGTCAGAATTTCCTTCCTTTTTAAGTTTGAATAATATTCCTTTTTGTGTATATATCACATTTTGTTTATCCACTTGTTTGTTGATAAACACTTGGATTGCTTCTACCTTTTGATTATGTGAATAATACTGCTATGAGCATAGATGTACAAGTATCTGTTTGAGTCCTTGCTTTCAATTCTTTAGGGTATATACCCAGAAAAAGGGAATCATTGTATTCTTTGGTGAATTCCATGTTAATGAGGAACCACCTACTGCTTTTTCTCTCATTGACGGCGTCATTTCCATTCTCACCTACAGCAGATACTGGTTCCAATTTATCTGCATCCTTGCCAACCTTTGTTATTTTCTGGTTGTTGTTGTTGTTGTTTGTTTTTGAGATGGATTCTCCCTCTGTCGCCTGTCACCAGGCTAGAGTGCAGTGGCACAATCTTGGATCACTGTAACCTCCACCTCCCGAGTTCAAGTGATTCTCCTGCCTCAGCTTCCTAAGGAGCTGAGACTACAGGTGTGCACCACCACACACAGCTAATTATTGTATTTTTAGTAGAGATGGGGTTTCACCATGTTGACCAGGATGGTCTTGTATATGCTGTAATGTAAGGGTCCAACTTTATTGTTTTGCATGTGTATATTCCATTTTTCCAACACTATTTGTTGAAAGACTGTACCTTCCCCATTGAATGGTCTTGACAGGTTTGCTAACAATCATTTCACCACATAAATGAAAGTTTGTTTCTAGGCTCTCCATTCTATTACATTTGTCTACATGTCTGTTTCTAAGTCAGTATCACACTGTTCTGATTACTGTATGCTTTGAAGTAAATTTGAAATGAAGCACTTTTGCATATTGTTTTACTCCTTCAAAAAATAAAAAACCTTGTTCTTTTTCTTTTAGTAAGAAAATTGAGGCCCAGAAGAATAAGTAACTTGCCAAGGTCAAAAGTAGAAAATGGTAAATTCTGGAATCTAGTTATGTTTTTTTTTTTTTTTTTTTTTTTTTTTTTTTTTTTTTTTTTTTTTTTACTAACAATATCATACTGTGTAAACTTTAGGGTGATACTTAGCTTCTGCATCTTCAATAAATTCATCTCTACAATGGGATGTTAAACCTAGCTATATGAAAACATCAGCTAAAACTAGGTGACTTTTTAATATTCATTTAGGTGTTTTATTTCTAGATATGCTTGAAATCTCATTATTTTTTAAATGCACTAATAGTTCTAAAAGTTAAATTTATTTCTAAAATTTTTATTATTTTTCTTTATTTTTAATTAACAAATAAAAATTGTATATACGGTATACATGATATTTTGAAATATGTATGTCAAATGGTTAAATTAAGCTAATATATGCATTAGCTTATGTATTTATTTGTGGTAAGAACACTTAAAATCTACTCTCTTAGCAGTTTTCAATGTACTATATATTGTTACTCACTAAAAGCACCATATTTTACAATAAATCTCCTGAATTCATTCTTCATGTCTAACTAAAATTTTATATCTTTTGACCATGACCATCATTTTCTCCAATTATTCCTCAAATCCCCCAGAGCCTTGTAATCACCATTCTACTCTTTGTTTCTATGAATTCCACTTTTTTAGATTCTGCATTAGTGAGAACATATAGTGTTTATCTCTCTGTATCTGGCTTATTTCACTTAACATAATATCCCCCAGACTCATCCATGTTGTCACAAACAACAGGATTTCCTTCATTTTAAAAACTGAATAGTATTTCATTTTGTATAAATACTGCATTTTCCAGCAACCTCCCTAGTGGGTATATATCCAAAGAAAATAAAGTCTGCATGGCAGAGAGATATTTGCACCCCAATGTCCAATGCAGCATTATCCCCAGTTGCCAAGATATGGAATCAACTTAAATGTCCATTAAAAGATGAACAAATATTTAAGTTAAATTCAGATCTTCAAATAAGTTTCTTCATCACCTGGTCCTGGACTTACTTTTCGCTAAATAACATTTATTTCCAAAAACCTTATTAGAAATAAGGCATTCTAAGGGAGGATATCCACAGCCCCTTGTTTTTAATTAGTAACACCTAGAGATTTACATTGGGACCTTCCGCGTTAGAGTGTTATCAGTTAAGAATGCTTTGAGTTGCAGGTAATTGACTATATGACTAAGAGTGTTTAATCAAGATGGGTTATTGTTCACATACAAAAATAGGTCTATAGATTGACAATTGTTGTCACTGAAGCAGAGGGTCAGTGAGGTCAGTCATGAGTACCGTCCATAGTTCCCTTGCCCTTCCTTTTATGATTTGAAGATGGCTACAGAAGTTCATAGCATTAATTCTCAACACAGTCGCTTTCAAACACTGGCAACAGACATCATATGCACCGGTGTCAAGCAGCCCTTCCTGTTTAGCCTCCCTTCCATCATGACTACCAAGAGCCTCAGTACGGTAAGCTTCATGATTTCTCTATACGTTTCTGCATATAGAAGTACATCTCAATTTTTTGAGATACAATATTAAAATGTAATCAAAAGCAAGACTAGATGACACTAGGACTTTGAGTTTCTTCTTTATATTCTTTATTTTAGGACCTATAATATTGTTACAGATCCTGATTTTTTAAAAAAAGATGATAAAAATTTTCACACATACTCAGAAGTAGACTATAGTAATTCTTTTATATGCCCCTCACCTGTATTCAACAATTATCAAGGTACTGCAAAAGTTTGCTTCATCTGTCCTTTTATTTCCTTTTTCTTTTTTGCTAAAGTACTTTAAAGCAAGTCTCAGCATCATGGTATTTCATTCCTACATATTTCATTTATCTCTAAAATTTGTTGACTTTTTTTAGACACTCAGAATGCCATTCATAAATCTAAAAATTGTTTCCTGATTACTTCAAATACCTTCCTTTGTCCTTCCCCTAACAGAAAGGTAGGGTCTGTTTCTCCAATCTCTTGAATGTTGCTTCTTTGTGTATCATTTAACTTCTTCTTTTATCTCTGGAATACACTATAAATGGAAATCAGCTATTTCCTAAATGGAAGTTGATTAGATTCTGAAACAACCTTAAAAGGTGCAAAAACTTTTTATAGGTATTGGGTACTGTACTTGGCATCATATCAGGAGGCACCCAGTATTTCCCCTATTTGTTAAGACTAAGATAATTTCAACTATTAATTACCTTAACTTAAATTGCTTCATTAGGAGCCACAATAGAATGTTCCTTTTAATTATAGAAGTTATCTCACATCAATTACTTAGAGAATTTGGTAAAGTAGAAATTTTTCTAATCAACTAGTGACATGGTTAACCTAAAATACAGTTTATAGAGGAAAAAGAATAAAGTGACAATTTTCAAAAAAGTTGGTGCTTGTATAAATTCATTTTCACATTGCTATAAGGAATACCCAAGACTGGGTAATTTATGAAGACAAAAGGAGTTTTAATTTATTCACAGTGTCACTTGGCTGGGGAGGCCTTAGGGAACTGACAATCATGGTGGAAGGCTATGGAGAAGCAAGCACCTTCTTCACAAGGCAGCAGGAGAGAGCAAGAGCAAAGGGGTAAGTGCCACTTTTAACACAGGAGATATTGGAGAGCTCATTCATGATCACAAGAACAGCATGGGGGAAACTACCCTCCCTGATATAACCATTTCCCAGAAGGTCCCTCCCTGGACATGTAAGAATTACAATTTGAGATAAGATTTGGGTAGGGACACAGAGTTAAACCATATCAGTGCTCTGGTCATTTTTTCAATTGCAACCAATAAATTGCTTATTATTTTTTCTCTTCATCCTCCTTTTCCTCTTCCTTTTTCTTTCTCTCCATCTCTGTCTCCATGTCATGACCCTATGAGCTTATAAACTTTTATATGTATAATGTGCTTCAATTTAATTCAAATTGAACATGTTTTAATTTAATTCAAAAGTATTAACATCCATATTTTTCACGATACTCAATTTTGTCCTTTATTTGACCATTGATAGACTTTCAGTTAGTGTGTTCCTATGCCTCTTTGAACCAACTTACCATTCTTTTGAGTTTCTTGAATTCCAGCACAACAGGATGTCTCAGCCTCATTTTGTAAGTTTTCTTATTGAGATCTAGAGTCAGCCATCCAATCAAAAAAGTCTAAGATATTTTAATAGAATCTGAAAGGTCAAATCTATGTGTTATAGTATTTTGCTGTTCTTTGTTTGCTCTGATTCCCACTTCAGTGTCTTAAGAATATCACTTATTTCTCACATATACAGTCTAATATATGTTTTAGAGAGCTTATTTCATTAAACCATCTATTGGTGGAAAAAATGAATCTAGAATAATAAAGAATAAGACAAGGCCTTTGGTTAATACTGAATAAGTGATAATTTCTGATAATACTTTCTTAATGTGCACTACTGTCATTTGGGAGGTGGTAGCTATTAGTAGAGATAATACTGCAGTAGCCAACTTTAAAAATCTTTGTAAACATTTATTTCCCTGTAGTTATTCTGCAACTTGAAATTTGTCTGACTTCTGTGCCTGGTAGAGGCTATACGATAATAAAATATCCGAATATTATTTTTGCAAAAGTTTGCTGACTTGTTTAACATTACTCCTGGATACCCATTCCTCGAAAGCCATTGCTTATTCAGAGAAGAGTTCTGGTAACTACAACAATGCCCCATTGCATTTCCTAACAATCTTGTCTTCTCATATACTGAAAATCAACTACTTTGTGTCTATTTCCAATGCCTTGTAAGAATTCCTGTACCTTGGAAGATGGCCAATACTTTTCATATCAACAAGTAGTTGTCACGACATTGTCCAAGGCCACAAGCTCTGGAGCCAAGAAGGCCTGTGTGTGAATTCAATAACTTACTATGAGATCTTTGACAAGTCACTTAACTTCTCTAAATGTAAATTTCTACTTTTATATAAAAAAGATAAACCTATCTTGGAACCTATTATAAAAATTGATATCAATGTACATAAAGCAAATTTCAGGAGAAATTTAACAAACTGTTATGATACGTTAGTGTGGTTATATTTCAATTAAAGTACATACCAAGAGCAGACATTAAATTCCACTGTCTGATTCAAAGGGAAGGAAAGAAGTGTATCATAGCCAAAGTATAGCAGAGTAAAAGCTACAAAAATCTGGATTCTATACCCAGCACTACATCAAAGGAATTCTGCTGCAAAGCCTTCCAAACTCAAAGGGTTTCATCTTCATCTATAAAATGAAACAGATATAATTACTTTTTCTCAGCATTTGTGACATAACAGCACAAAAAACAAATGACAGGTACCTAAGGGACCCACCAGTAATCCCCAGGTTCCAAGGAGTTAACTTATTAAAACATCCACAGCCATTCACAGCATATCAGTATGTAACCACACACAGGTTGTGAAGCTCTGGTCTGGAAGACATCTGAAGTCCCTCTAGCTCAATGATATTTGCGATGGAAATGTAAGATCAGGGAATGGCAACATTAGAATAGGAAACGGGGAACACTTTTCAAGCTAGATAGAGGTCAATGTAATCTTTATATTCAAATCTTATAGATTGCTGCATAAAATTATAGCATAGACCTGAGACCTCACTATATCCCCAGATAGTACTTCCTAAAGTTAGACTGAAAAAAGATAAATCATATTGTCCTTTTTATTGCGAAAGAATGAGTCGTAGTTTAATAAGAAATCATTTATTGTCCCAAGTCCAGTGCCAAAATTTCCTGAAGGATAGATGTAAAGTTATGAATTTCATAGAAGCATAGTTAACAGAATCAGAAGTATAATTAACTAAACACAAAAATATTTATCATTTTGGAAATAATTCATAGAAAGGATTAGAATCTTATCTATTATTTAGTAAACCTAAGTAATATTTTATCCTCAATTTTAAACATCTACTATCAAAGGAAGAGAGAGAGAGAGACAGTGAGAGGAAGGGAGAGAGAGAAAAAAGCTAACAACATGCACATTTTTTGTGACAGACAAATAAGTATCTTATCTTTTCAGAGACTGATTTTGAATGAAAGTTAGAAATATATTTGTTAGATAAAGGTTTACAGAAATATGCTGCTTTTGAAATGCTGAAATTTCAAGCTTTATTTGGTGAAGGCTTTCAGTATTTCTTGCAACCAAAGTAGAATTTGACAAGGAATACCTTTTTTGTTTTATTATACTTTAAGTTTTTGGATACATGTGCAGAATGTGCAGGTTTGTTACATAGGTATACATGCGCTATGGTGGTTTGCTACACCCATCACCCATCATCTACATTACATATTTCTCCTAATGCTATCCCTCCCCTTCACCCAGTGACGTTCTCCTTCACCCAGTGATGTTCCCCTCCTTGTGCCCATATGTTCTCATTGTTCAACTCCCACTTATGAGTGAGAACATGCGGTATTTGGTTTTCTGCTCTTTATTAGTTTGCTGAGAATGATGGTTTCCAGTTTCATCCACGTCCCTGCAAAGGGCATGAACTTACTATTTTCTATGACTGCATAGTATTCCATTGTGTATATGTGCAACATTTTCTTTATTCAGTCTAACATTGATGGGCATTTGGGTTGGTTCCAAGTCTTTGCTATTGTGAATAGTGCTGTAGTAAACATATGTGTACCTGTGTCTTTGTAGCAGAGTGATTTTTATTCCTTTGGGTATATACCCAGTAATGGGATTGCTGGGTCAAATGGTATTCCTAGTTCTAGATTTTTGAGAAATCACCACACTGTCTTCCACAATGCTTGAACTAATTTACACTCCCACCAACAGTGTATAAAAGCATTCCTATTTCTCCACATCCTGTCCAGCATTTGTTGTTTCCTGACTTTTTATGATCAGCATTCTAACTGGCATGAGATGCTATCTCATCGAGGTTTTGATTTGCATTTCTCTAATGACCACTAATGATGAGCTTTTTTTCATGTTTTTGGTCACATAAATGTCTTCTTTTGAAAAGTGTCTGTTCCTCTTGTTTGCCTACTTTTTGATGGGGTTGTTTTTTTCTTGTAAATTTGTTTAACTTTCTTGCACATTCTGGATATTAGCCCTTTGTCAGATAAATAGATGGCAAAAATTTTCTCCCATTCTCTAGGTTGCCTGTTCGCTCTGATGATAATTTCTTTTGCTGTGCAGAAGCTCTTCAATTTAATGAGATCCCATTTGTCAACTTTGCCTTTTGTTTCCATTGCTTTTGGTGTTTTAGTCATGAAGCCTTTGCCTATGCCTATGTCCTGAATGGTGTTGCCCAGGTTTTCTTCTAGGGTTTTTATGGTTTTAGGTCTTACATTTAAATCTTTAATCTAGCTTGAGTTAATTTTTGTGTAAGGTGTAAGGAAGGGCTCCAGTTTTAGTTTTCTGCATATAGCTAGCCGGTTTTCCCAATACTATTTATTAAATAGGGAATCCTTTCCCCATTGCTTATTTTTGTCAATTTTGTCATCAGATGGATGCAGATGTGTGATGTGCTTTCTGAGGCCTCTGTTCAGTTTCATTTGTCTACATAACTGTTTTGGTACCAGTACCATTCTATTTTGGTTACTGTAGCCTTGTAGTATAGTTGGAAGTCAGACAGCGTGATGCCTCCAGCTTTGTTCTTTTTGATTAAGGTTGTTTTGGCTATACAAGCTCTTTTTTGGTTCTATATGAAATTGAAAGTAGTTTTTTTCTAATTCTGTGAATAAAGTCAATGGTAGTCTGATGGGCATAGCATTGAATCTATACATTACTTTGGGCAGTATGGCCATTTTCACGATATTGATTGTTCCTATCCATGAGCATGGAATGTTTTTCCATTTGTTTATGCTCTCTCTTATTTCTTTGTAGTTCTCCTTGATGAGGTTGTTCACATACCTTGTAAGTTGTATTCCTAGGTATTTTCTTCTAACGCATTTTGTGAGGCCAGTATCACCCTGATACCAAAACCTGGCAGAGACACAACAAAAAAGAAAATTTCAGGCCAATATCTCTTAAGAATATCAATGAAAATCCTCAATAAAATACCGGCCAATTGAATCCAAAAGCACAGTAAAAAGCCTATCCATCATGATCAAGTCAGCTACATCCCTGGGATGCAAGGCTCGTTCAGCATATACAAATCAATAAACATAATCTATCACATGAGTTAGGTGTATGTTTAACTTTTGTACATATTAGGACATCATTTTCTAGAGCGGTTACATCCCATCAACAATGAAGGAGAATTCCAGCTGCTTCATATCACCATCAAACCTTGGTATTGTTCATCTTTAATTTTTGGTTCTGATGTGTGTGTCTTAACTGGGGCTTTACCAATATTGAGGCCCTTTTCATATAATTCTTAGCCATTTTGACACTGTGAAATGTGTGTTTAAATTGACCACACATTTCTAATTAACTGCCTTTTTTTTATTTGTAGGAGTTCCTTATTCTGTTGATGAGTAATTTGACAAACACACACATGTTACAAAAATCTTTTCCCAGCCTCTGGCTTAACTTCTCATCCTCTTAATTTTATCACTTTATAAACAAAAGTTCTTAACTTCAGTGTAATCCAATTTATTGATCATTTTTTTATTGTTTGCATTTTTTTTGTTAAGAAATCTTTACTCATTTAAAAGTCAGGAAGATATTCTCCATGTTTTATTTTAGAAGCTTTATTAATTTAGCTTTTACACTTTAGGTTTATGATGCATCTCGGATTCATTTCTGTGTTTAATATGAGGTAGGAGTTGAGGTTCTTTTTTGTTTTTCACTGATATATCCAATTAACCCGGCACAATTTATTAAGAAGACCATTGATTCCTATAGAAATGCAATATGACACTCTTATCATATCAAGGCATTATTTTAGTGTGGATATATTTTTGGAATATCCATAATTCCACTGCTCTATCTTTGTGCAAATATGATACCTTTTTAATTACTACAGCTTTAGAGTAAGTCCTCTTATAAGTTACAGCTCTGCTTTATTTCCTTGGTAATATCTTGGCTATCTTAAATTCTTAAGTATATATTTTGAAAGCATTAGATTAAAAATGTATGGGAAAGTTTGAGTTTTATTTAGCCACTGACTACACATGGCCTCATGAAAGACAATTTAACTTCCCTCTTTGTTTCGTAATTTGTAAAATGTGTAGTGCTTGAATTAGACAATCCCAAAGACTTTCGCATTTATGATTTTCTATCCCAATTCACACAGAGAGGGAAGGCAACTAATATTCATAAATAAACCACAGGAAACCTCCAATGAAAGGATGATAGGCTAAATGCAGGCACATTTTTTTCTTCACAAATTATATTCCACATTTAAAATAATGCATTTTGAAACTGGGTTTAGAGACCACTTCTTTAATATAATATTAACAGATTTGCAAATTCATTGTATTTCTAATTGCCTATTTAAAGTGGCAAAACAAAATGCATTGCTTTTATGGGAAGTAAAATTTTGATAATATTGAAAACATTGGCCAACACATATTTCTCTATTACTAGTACATAAATGAAAGTGTGCAACAATTGGCATCACTTTACCTCTCTAAATAGAATCTTTAACCTCAAACCCACCCTCTCCATTATACCAGGCTTATACCACAACATCACACTTTGTTTTGCTCTAAAAATTGTCCTAATTTCTCTTGCCTAAAATACACTCCTGCTTTATTTTCACCATTTCACACTTACTAGTTTCTTTATAAATCATATCTGCCAGTCTTTCTTGAGTAACTTTTTCTACTCATTTTTTCCTTTGTGCTCATCTGCCTGCACTGTATTATCTAGTCTATGTCTACACACAAATTTATTAAACATTTGATTCTCATCTCCCCACTTATGTTCTAAGCTTCTTCTATTTTGAATGGTCAGATGTGGAGTACTGAGTTTAGAATTATGCAAGTATACCTAGGTCGCTGGGAAGGAACAACACTTAGGTTGGGAGTGCCTTCTCTGTGCCAGTCATGTGTTCTCTCATTTCACAATAACACTGTGGTGTATATTAGTCTCATTTTTAAAGTAGGGAAATGATGTTTATCAAAATTAGGTAACATGCTCACTGTCACTTGTAGCATCTGAGCCTTTTCTTCCATCATGGAAATAAGGATGCTAACAAATTGTCTCAGAAGGCACAGCTGACTATTGGGGTGGGGAGGACGAGGTCCTACAAGGCACTGCCTAGGAACAAAGGAGTGCTTCTCATCAGAGACAAGAGGCAGTAGGGCCAGAAAAGCAGACTAAGCAAGAGGTGATACAATGAGGTCAAGATCTAGGCTGAGAAGTGTAAGGTAGATGCCAAAGCCGGAGGAGCAGACAGTGAAACAGAAGATAAGATGAGCAGAGCCTGGTTTGAAATGCAGAGATTGGACTGAAAGAGGGAGGATGTACAGCAACAGAAAAGGCAGCAGGTGATTGACAGGCATTTGCTGGATGCAAAAATTAATAAATAAATGAATAACTTATAAAGGATAAATGAGAGAGAGGCAACAAAACCATATTTAAACATTTGCAATCTGGATAACTGACAAATTATTAGTACAATTTAATAGAATTAGAGTATTCAGAAAAAAAAATGAAAGCTTGAATAGTGGATATTGAAATGCATTTTGGACAGGGGACATCAGCCATGAATGTTTAACAGGCAATTGAAAATGTATGAAGCTCAGAAGAGAAGTAAATACTGGAGTTTGCAGCTTACAAAATGCTTTACAATGTTTTACCTTATTCTCTAAAATAACTAATAAAGAAACTGAGGTTGAGAAAATTGAGTGACTTGCCCAAAGTGGCACAGTTAATGGGTGGATAATCTAGAAATCAGATTCAGGCTTCTTACCATAAAGTTCAGTGCTCCTTTTATTACATTTTACTGCCTTTCATATAAGAATGAGCAAATCATCCAAAATAAAAAGAGGGTGTCAGATAATATGATTCTATTTGGGCCGCAATTACGATAATGCCTTATGCTAACGTGCATGGCTTCAGGTGACAACGAACTGAAATTTATCAAAAACAAGTTGACCTCCCTCTTGGTTAAGGATATTTTTTCATTCATTCCAAGAGTTGCTTGCTTATTGCAATTTGCCTGCTGGTATGGGCATAGCTGACAGCATCACCTGCTGCCAAAAAAGTAAATGTGCTGGAGGCTGTTAAGTAGATTAAAACTTTGTGCCACCAAGTAGTGCCCAATAACATAGTCTGAAATTCCACCTCAGCCAAAGATGTTCCTAAAAACCCTAAAACAAAAAGCAGAAGAAAGAACATTTTAGGAGAATTTATGAGATAGAAGATACAAAGTAATTATACAATAGACAAGAAAACAAATATTTGAAAATTTGCCAAATAGCTGGAAGCCAAATTTGAGAAAAGAAAAATCTCTGCGAGAACTGCTAGTTTTATAAAATATTCTGAGAGTTTAAGGGTAAATTAAATAAATTATGCATTAGTTATAATTATGCTGCTGAGCTGGCATCCTTATTTTCTCTAAATTCTATCAATCAGTCAAAAGAAGTCACAGTGCAAGGTCAGAATCAAGGAATCTAGTCAGATTCAAAGTCACATTGCAATTGATGTAGACACAGCAAGAACAATTGCAGTCATTTGTTGTCAGCCTATGACTACAAACAACCAGTGGTTTGATTTCAGGAAGTTCATCTCTCTTGGCCTAAGTTTTTTGTTGTTGTTGTTTTAGATGGAATCTTACACTGTGACCAGGCTTGAGTACAATGGTGCAATCTCAGCTCACTGCAACCTCTGCCTCCCGGGTTCAAGAAATTCTCCTGCCTCAGCCTCCTGAATAGCTGGAGCTACAGGCACGTGCCACCGTGCCCAGCTAATTTTTGTAGTTTTAGTAGTGACGGGGTTTAACTATGTTGCCCAGGAGGTCTCAATCTCTTGACCTCCTGATCCGCCTGTCTCCCAAAGTGCTGGGATTACAGGCATGAGCCACCGTGCCCAGACAGTCTCTTTATCTCCAAGATACGGTTTAGGACTTGCTCTCTAGGATTCCTTACAGTCCTCTATTCCTAAGGCAACAGCTTTCAAAGCTGCCTTACAGGCAAATTAGAGAATGTTTTTGTATCTCAAAAACAAAAAAAAATCTACAAATAACGTGACATGTAGTTACTTCACTATGTGTAAAGCCGCTTATTAAAAGGCAAAAATGCCATATCGAACCTAAAAAGTGAAATAGGAAGATGAAATAAAATCAAATGACATCAAATTACTACTGCGAGTTGCAAATGATTGAAGATTGTTTGTTTAGCTGTTTGCCAACACTAAACTGAACTGTCCACTTCATGTCCTAAATGGCCCAGCTTGGCACTGGATCATAACCAATATTCTACTTTATAGATTTTTCTTCATCAATAATTCAGGGTGTGAAAGTGATCAATATTAGAATTACTCAGACTGTTAATATCATTTAAATTAAATGGTTAATTGCTTCATCTTCTATTTCACCTGAACATAAAGATTCAACCAATTTAATGAAGCTTAAACTTTAGCCAAGCACACAGTAGGTGAAGGAAGTCAGTTACCAGCCAACAGTGCTTTCTATTTTAATATACAGATAAGCAGACTCTTATTAGAAACCCCAACTGCCAGAGAAGACAAAATGCTTTACTTCTCTCTGACTGATGGGGAAAAGCAGCTAAGATAGAAAGTGTTATTGCCCAGAAATAAAAACAAAATTTCTATGAATGCTAAGAGAAAAGAAACCATAAATATTTAGTATTTTTTTCTTTGGTTTCACTTGCAAATGTCTGTATGCACTGTTTTCCCTCAGGATACACAGTTGAAATGTCAAATTACTGGAATCTGGAGATTACTTTGATTAAATTTTGCCTTGCATAAAGCAGGCTAAAAGAGGTTAACCCTAATGGCCTCCACCAATAAGAAAGAATCTATCTGAATTTAGCA